TTTAACACGTTTTTGAAAATCTGATAAATTTACTGTACTGGAAGATAAAATAATATAATTTCAATCGAAAATGCTATTTGATCTAATTAAAACTCTGAAGAGTCCTAATTGAATTAGAAATGATGAGAACCTTCTAGAATATTCTAGAAGACTAAAACCATTCCTAATTGCATTAGGAATGATAAATCATATTAGACCCTCCCTTAGATCATTGGGCCGTACTTAAAGCTCAAACCGGGCCCAGTTTAGTAAATTGGCCATAACTTCCTCAATATTCATCGGAATTGGGCTTATAATATATCGTTGGAAAGGTCTTTGCAAGCCCCATCCAACTACACCACTAATTGACCCATATCATGGACCAACCAAACTGGATTGGCTGTTTTCTTAAAATAAAGTTTTCAAAAACAGAGAGAAGAGAAAAGAAAAGAAAAGAAATAAAACTTTCCGCAACACTAGACCTTTCCACACTTTCGTTTCATTCGATTATGATTCGACGTGAAAGGCACTCATCACTGGGTTTGGTTTTGGGGAGACACAAATGGGTGTCTACACACTCCGTAGTACGGCTGTTTTCTCTACAGGATAATACTTGTTATAAAAGTTCAAAACAAGAGTTTCCCAGTCAGTTATACCAAGTGCAGTTCTATTTAAGCCATTAAACCACAATTTAGATTTTCCAGTTAAAGAGAAGGGAAAGAGAATCTCCCTGATTTGGTCTTGAGTGACTCTGGCTTGCCTGATGGTGTTACAATATTGACAATAGTCGGCAATGTGAAGATTCGGGTCTTCACCCTTGGCTCCACTGACATGCTTCCTCTCTATCATCGTTATAAATTGAGGTTTAATTTCAAATTGAACGCCATCAAGAGCCGGAGTGGGGGTGAGATGTGGAAAATCCGTAAACTTTGGTTGTGAATAATCACTAAGCTTCTTTGGAGCCGTCATCTCTGATTCTGGATCTGATGGTACCTCTGAATCGCTAGAATCAGTTGGAGGGTCTCGGTTATTATTATTGTTATCACCAGAATCCGCCAGGATTTGCTTGTAGAGATTTTTCTGTCTATGGAAGGAACGTTCGATCTCAGGATCGAATGGGATGTAACCTGATCTGGAACACCTAGGCATAAACAAATACTAGAAGAAAGTATGAGATTTGCCTCAGAGAAATAATGTTCTCTAAGACAAGAAGAAAATAATCTAGACTACAAAAATAATTAGAAATAAAAATAAAACCGTTTCCCCAGCAACGACGCCAAATTTTGACAGGGTAAAGTCGTATCCCCTAATCAAAAGTAATACCTAAATCCTCTAACTAATGTAGATAGGGAAGTAGGGTCGATCTCCACAGGGAAACAAGTCTTTCTATTCCTAATTAACTAAAATAATCTAGATTATGAAGTAACCAATATTTATATTTGAGTATGAAACTAAACTACAAATAATGAGAATAGGGAGAAAACAATATACTTCCTCCGTTCTATTAATATTGCAACAATGGACTTTTTGCACTATTCATCACTCTTGTTTGACCATATAATATGAGTTATATGTTAAGCAAAATATAGCCAAGTGGGAACTTGTTGGATTCGTCTCATATAATACTTTCACAATATCAACTTTTTATAATTTTTACTCTTACACAATTATAGATATTTAGCATATAAAATGTGTTTTGGGATGCGTAATTTCCTCCTTGTTGCAATATTAACAGAACAGAGGAAGTATAAAAGGATCTAGGGCATAGGTTCACCAATAAATAATACTCCAGGGTAAAACACAATAATCAATCATTGACATTGCATAAATAACATGATTAACAAGCTCTCGCAATTTATTAATCAACATAGATCTAACAGGCTCTCGCAATTTACTAGATCTAAGTTCTTATTGAAAATAACCTTTAATATCAAATTAACATCTGCTCGATTCATCAATTCAATATTGTTATACTTTTACAAGCCGTAATTGTAAAACGTTAAAACAATTCAATAAGAAATTATCATGCAATACCAAGAATCAATAATAGTCAATCATCAATGCATCAATTAACCAGATTGTAAAGGGATTTCGCTACGTATTACAATCACACAATTAATTTACCGGTATTAAATCTCATCTCTCAAATCTCGACTTAACCATTTATAAATTAATCTGCCTATTGAAACTAGACCTAAACATCAACTCTCATCTGTCGAATCTCGAATCAATGTTGTCACACTCATGCATAAAATATCAGGCCTAATCTAGTCACAGAGCATTAAATCAATCAATAGGAAATTAATCTAGCATTGATAATTAACAACAATAAATTACCCCTTCATATTATTTAAGAATCCCCATAAACCCTAGAAATAGAACTACTCACACATGGTAAAAACTAGACTAATCAAAGCAATAAAGTAAAACATGATTAAAGGAATAAAATAAATAACTAAGATTAAGAGAAGAGAAATCGTTACCAAAATAAATCTGGAATTAAGAGTAGATTAAGAACAAAGGTTTAGGAGAAAGAAATCTAAGAGAACAATTAAGAGAGTAAACAAAGAGTAAAAAGAGAGAGAGGAAAGAGATAAAGATCGTCCTAAAATTGTATTACGGAGGAGTATTTATACTCCGTACAAATCCTAAACTAAAACAAACTAAAACGACGCTAATCGTCAACTAATAAATACACGCGCTCGATCGGGCGAGGCACCGCCCGATCGGGCGCGCCTTTTTATCCATAATACTAATCTCTCGCCCGGCCGGGCGCGTCACCGGGCGCTAGCCTTAGCTTCTCCCGCCCGGCCGGGCGCGCCTCCGGGCGCCAATCTCTTTGGCCGGGCGACTCACTAGGGCCACTATTTGGACTACGATTGGGCTCCAATTCTTCGGGCCAATCTGGGGTTCCTCTTCGGGTCTTGAATACTCGATCCAAATGCCCCGGTATCATACATACCAAGCCCTTAATCACCGGTTCGATGGCTCTAACCAGCCCTGGGCTATAAAATCTGGTCGTGCTTCTCCAATGTTCGTGATTGCTCTAAAATATCTCGGGAAAATACTCCAAAAGTATAAATCCCTGCAAAAGTCAACCAAATCTATGAAAACACTAGAAAACACCAATTAGTAATAAAAGTGGCTCTAAAGAGCCAAAAACACTACTAATTATGACCAAGGGACGGGGGGTAAAATACTATATAAAATGGATACATCAACCTCTCAATTAAATTAAGCTAAAATAGATTAAACATAGTTTAATAATAAACCAGCACAATGTATAAAAAAGCTCAAGGAGCGCTGAAGCGAGAGGGGTTATGCTGCGCCTAGGCGCGCCAGTGCGCCTTACATCAACAGTACAAAAATTTTGGCTGAAGTTTGCTCAAGTGCATCTTGTGCGCTTTTTTTTGTGCCTCATGTACCTAACTTACTAGACCAAATTAAGCGCTTACCCCCTATCGCCTTGCGCCTCAACGCCTAGGCGCGCTTTTTCAAACACTACACCACCATCCTCAAATTCCTCCTCAACCTCATCACCGTAAATACCGAGCCGCCCCTCTCCCCTCCCCTTGCTGCCCCACCTTTTACCCTTTAACCACCCAGGCAAATCTCCCTCACCCCACAAACCCTAAATCACCTCCCCCTTTCCTCGACATTATCCATGGCGCACCACTGCACCACCACCCTAACCCTCTTCTTCCTTATAACCCTATTTTCTCTCACCTCTCCCACCATGATCAATTTCGATAAACGGCCCAAAATACCCATCTATGAATTCGAGTTTACTGATACAGGCCACCTTGAACTCAACGTTACTAAAATCAACCTCTGCAGTCATAACAACAACATCGATATTTAGGTTCTTCCTCTATACTTGTGATTCATGACTTCACGTCCTCTTGATTTTTTGTCAATTGATTCCACGGGGTAGGTGGGGGGGGGGAGGGAAGGTGTGTTGGCGGTTTGGGGGGAAAGGTAAGGGCGATAGAGTGTTTCATTAGTGGTGGAAGGGGAGGCAAGGGGAGGGAGAGGGGCGGCTGAGTGTTTTCTGCGAGGAAGAAGGGTAGTTAGGTGTTTTCGGTGGTAGGAGGTGGAAAGGAGGGTGGTGAATGTGGTACTGGTGGTGAGGGTATAACCATATTAAAGGTCAATTATGTTTAATTTTCTATAATATGGCTAGGTTAGAGAAAACTTATTAATCCAATTTCTAAATTTAAGAGAATCCTCTTAAAAATTTGCTACCAATGAAAATGCGTAATCGTGTATGGCTACCATTGAGAATTTCCCAAAATTAAAGAGATCAAATCATCAAAGCACCTAACTATTGTGCAATAATCTACTCAGGCTTACTATAGGAAAATATGTTTCACCCCCTTCAACATTGTCACTTAAGTACATAAACATTGTTGCAACTCTTTGACCACCTCGCTTCACATTAAACTGAAATCACACAGAAGTTAAACAAAAAAATATCAACAAAAAAGACAAGCATGTGCAATAGATAGTTCTTGTCATAAGAAGACTCAACTTACAGAATCAGAAAAGTAGTCATGGTGGGTTTTGTAAAATTGATCCTTCTCGTACCTGTGTCAATCAAATATTAAGTTAAATTGTCAATAAATAAATAAGATATAAAGAATGTTATGATACTCCAAAATGATTCTAGTTAAAAACACCATAAGCAAATCACCTTAAAACTTGAATGAGCTCCCCATTCTCTGCTGGCTTTTTTTGACAAACAAACAAATAATAATAATAAAATCATAATAACAACTAATCGAAAATGATTAAAAAAACCTTAACCATCACGAATTGGGGATGTAGCTCAGATGGTAGAGCGCTCGCTTAGCATGCGAGAGGTACGGGGATCGATACCCCGCATCTCCATATAAATCTTTATTTTTATTTTATTTTTTAAAGTTTTGGGTGTACCCTCTGGCCTTTGCCGCGTCATTCACGGTTTTGTTTTCAATTTCAGATAATCACGATTCTTTATTAATAAGACAGTCTTCAATTTTCATTTCCCAATTTCGTCCTCTTTGAACTCCGTGCCATTTAAGTCTCTTTTTTCTCTCTCTTAATTTTCTTTTTCAGCTCCAATTTCTTTTCCTGAATTTGCAAAATGACAATATCCTCTACAAATAAAGGTTAGTTTTGATTCTAAGATCATGAATTTTTCTTTTTTTTTTTTTAATTTTTTTTTTATAATTAAAGTTTGGTGAATGTATTATATTGCATGAATTTTAATTCTTAAGATCATGAAATTTACGATATGTTTTGGCATTAAATTTGATATCATAATCGTCTACCATTTCTCGCTTTGTAATGAATTCGATTTTTTGTGGTATATTTTCGCTTTATGTATGTGAAATGGAATTCTGTTTAGCTGACTTATACACCAATCTATTCACCTTTTGATATTTAAATTCTTCCAATTTTGTTGGATTTAATTTATTTTTTTTTAAATGGGGAGGAGATAATAATATATACTTCGTATTTTTCTTAATTAAAAAAAAATACTGTTTTATTGGCTTTAAAATTATTTTTGTTGTTTAATTTCTCTTTTTGTAAATAAATGCTAATTAATTTTGCTTGGCTTTGGCAAACAGCAATTACTTGGTTTCGTTTGGAATATGATTTTGACTTTGAATGTTAATACTATTATTGATTTTAATGGATTATTGACTTTGAATGTTTTGATGATTAAGGCTAAGGCTATGTTCAATTCACCTTATCTGAATTTTTCTAATATGATTAAATCTGGTTCGATTTGATTTTCAGATTTGGCTAAACTTTAATTTATTTGTAAACTAGATAATATATTATAAAATGAGATGTCATTAAATTTGTATTATGGTATACTTTTCAAATATGAAATTTTCATATTTTTTTTTAGTTACGGAGCTAGATATTTAGTATTGAGCAAACACAAATAAAAGGATCAAGTTTGATCTGATCTCGCCTGATTCGATCATTATTGAAACCAGCAAACCTTTGCTTAAATAAGCTAAATTGAAGTAGCCTAATTAATTGGATCATTCTGCTTTAAGTGTATGTGATGTTTCTAATGATCCCTATAAACTTACCTTACGGCCTGTTTATTTCATCTTATTTTAACATATCTTATCTTAGCTCCGATAAAATAAGTTCAGGAAAAAAAAAAAAGTTTTGGGTAGTCTAGTGATTATAAATTTATAATCACTTTGATTGTTGATCAAATGTTGTGTTGTTTGGCTACTAGGTGACTCACTCAAGGATGCGAGGAGTTCATATTTCAATCTACCACCGCTTGATATATCAGAAGCATTCCCCCAAGCAAAACCTGCATCGATATTTCCTCCTTGTGGTGAGATTTTTATTCTTTATTCGTGTAAAGTTCTGATAAAGTTTAAGTTATGCTGATCTTTTTGATGCCTTAGGTATCCCATATGTCCTTATATATGTGACATTTATTTTGAAATGAATAATTAATATAATAATGTAAATTATCACAGTTGCTAATTTCACAATCAATTTAAACTACTAGTAATATACTGATAAAGTGATAATGCATGAATTGAATGAGAAAATTAGAGTTTTTTTTGTTGAATTTCATGTCCTTATTTTCCCCTTAGGACAATCGACCAATTGTAATAGAAAAGAGTTGGAAAGTCAAAACTTAGAATTTACAAAGTTGGCTAAGTATCCTAATGCAATTTATGAAATCATGGTTTCATAGTTGATAAAATTTGGATGAGCTTCTTCAGATGCATGAGTTTCTTATTTTTATTTTGAATTCCAATACCTGTTTTTGGTTTAAAACTCTTTTTGCTTTTCCATATTATCCAAGTCTTGCCTCAATTTTTCTCTTACGTATTGGATTTTGATAATTGTAAAGCTTCAAAGTATCATTTCAGTATGCTTTTGAACAAGTTACATAAGTCTCAATCTAATTAGTAGTGTTCCTCAAAAAAACTATATGTAATCTACTTATCTCTTTTGTGAGTTGTGACACATGAGGCTTAAAACATGCACAAAAATGTTCATAAAGGAGGCAATTGTGGATATTACAGGTTTTTACTGGCTGGATCAATTAATGTTCACTAAATTAGTTTCATTCTAGATGTTTATTTATATATTCTTTCCTGTGCCTCCTTTGGACTGCAGCATCCGACTATTATCAATTTGATGATCTGCTGAATGATGAGGAGAGGGCTATTCGTGCTAAAGTTAGAGAGTGTATGGAAAAAGAAGTAGCTCCTATCATGGCAGAGGTGGTTACCTCTACTTAGTAACTTTGATTGCTACCATCATGCCTTCTTATTTATCATTATGTAATAAATAATTCTAAGTCATCTTTGTATCATCTTTAGTTGCCAAATTAAGCAAGAGATTGTAACAAGTTTTGTTAATTGCAGTACTGGGAAAGAGCTGAGTTTCCATTCCAGATTATTCCAAAGTTGGGGGCCTTGCAAATTGCTGGTGGGAGTATTAAGGTAATTAATATAAATTGGGTTTGACTTCTTTTGTTGTGACCACCTTAAATGAGATATTAACAAGTTTCAGTGATTAGGGTTATGGTTGCCCCGGTCTTTCCATTACAGGAAATGCTATTGCCACGGCTGAGGTTGCTAGGGTTGATGCTAGTTGTTCGACATTCATATTGGTCCATTCTTCTCTGGCGATGCTCACAATTGGTGACCTCCTCAACTTCTTGTATATATGAACTCATTTTTCCCTGTCTGATAATAAACTTGCAATTTCAGTATATATATGTCTGTTATCTAGTTTTATTGGAAGGCAATATCTGATTAATAATTTACTTTTGGCAATATTGTGGTGTCTGTTGAGATAGCATTGTGTGGCTCAGAAGATCAAAAAATGAAGTATTTGCCTTCTTTGGCACAGTTAAAAACTATAGCATGTTGGGTAAGGTTCCCCTTTGCTGCCATTCATTAATTTGGCTGGCTTTTGTAATTTATGCTTATAATCTTCCTCATTTTCTTTGTCTGTTAGGCATTGACTGAGCCTGACAATGGAAGTGATGCAAGTGGTCTGCAAACAACTGCTACAAAGGTTTAAAAATTAAAATCCCTTTTTTCTCCATGCATTTCCCATTCCTTTCTCAAGAGGCGTATCTTATTATAGCTATTTATAGGTTGCTGGAGGCTGGATATTGGAAGGTCAAAAGCGATGGATAGGTAATAGCACATTTGCAGACTTACTCATCATATTTGCTAGGAACACTGCAACAAATCAGATAAATGGGTAAGTGTGAAAATCCTCTAAAATATTGAGTAAATCTAGCCCTTTGACAGCATCCTTGAAAGAAAAATTTATTTATTAATGTAGAAGAGCTGAAAAAAAAATTATATGGAGTAGAACTTTTGCCGAAAGTTTGCATTTAGACAATTTCTGAAGAATTTGTAAGAATTTGCTTTTATGTTTTCGATTATGGTCTTAGGGATAAGTAAATAAAGTGTTTGATTCATGCGATTATGCTACGTGGCATCCAAGTGTGAACAATTGATTATCTGTTGCAATTGAACAATCCTACTGAATCTGAGTATGGTTGATGGAGTGACGCATTTACTTTCTATCAAATATCTCTATTAATACTGAAGATATGCTTGGAGAATGCCCCTTCTCTGTCTTTGATGCCTTCCCTTATTGCTGCTGCAACATCTTGCTCTACTCTTGCCTGATAGTTTGGAAGTACCACATTAGGCAATAGCCTGTCCATTGTGGATTTCTATTTTCTGACTTTTAGATGACAATGGACTAAACTAAAATGGCTTATTAAATGGTGTATACCTATTAAAGTTTTGTGAAGTAGCATGCAGTCGTTTCGTAGTTAATCAAATGTGATACCCAATCTTCCTTACCTCTAATCAAAGGTTTTGGGCTATGATTACATTGATGTAAATGTATAAAGTTAGCAGAACATCGAGTCTTCAACCTAAGCTTTATGTGTCTAAATTGTCACTAAGGCCCCTGGCTACCAGTTAAATGATTGACGCCTTGACGGTATTTTGTAGACTTGTTTTCTTCAAAGCTCTACTATTCTCTCTGTTTGCCAGAGGTTTGAATGTCTGAAAGTGGTTTATGATTCCATAACACTTTTCATCGAGGACTTTGGACTTGGGAATTCTGTTGCTGAAGCTATCACTGTTGTAACTTGTGGGAAGGAGGGAAACACAAGTGGAGAAAATTTGAAATGCAGTATCATCGAGGACTTTGGACTTGGGAATTCTGTTGCTGAAGCTGTCACTGTTGTAACTTGTGGGAAGGAGGGAAACACAAGTGGAGAAAATTTGAAATGCAGTATGATCTACATAAGGAAGTTACAGGCAAATGTATAATGATTTTGATAATTAAAACAAGATACTTCTAGGTTTGTGATATTTGATCAGTGCTCTGGGATCCTCTACAACCTTTACATGCGTGGTTATCTTAAATGCATTTCCCATTAAACTTAGATGTCATGTTCCCTTTAAAATATAGAAACACAATTCAATTAGTCTTTAAGTATGACCCTCAAATCTTGGCCCATTTGTGCGTAGTGAGGGAGAAAAAAATGAAGGAAATGATATTGTTCACTGAATCAATTGTCTTACAGTTATCTGTAAAAGGCAGTATATAATATCAGAGTATGCTCAACTTTGTGCGCAATGTTTCCATCAAAGGTTATAAATTCTCTTCTTTTCCACATGATAGGGGGTATACTTTTTAGAGTCATTGGATGTGGTTAATTTACCTGTTGTTGATACATCACCTGATCACCAACTTGAATGGTTTAGGAGGTCAAGATGTAAGAAGCCATACCTTTGATTGGCTCGGAGTTCAGAATAAAACAATGTTGGCATTGTGTATGGTTGAACATCATCGCAAAGTTGCCTTTTGGTAACTTTAAAAAGCTCGTGTATGATGTATCAGTCTTAGTCTGATTTAAATCTCGAGTGTTTGGTGCAACAAGAGCTTGATGTTGGACACTTGGACACACTGCTGTTTTAATTAATTGATTCCATACTATTTGTCCTCTTTCCCCTGTTTTCTTGATCAACAGTCCACACTCTACAGATTCATTGTTAAAAAGGATTCGCCTGGGCTCACTGCTACAAAAATTGAGAACAAGATAGGCTTGCGGATTGTTCAGAATGGTGATATAGTCCTAAAGAAGGTTTTTGTCCCTGATGAGGATAGGCTACCTGGTGTCAATTCTTTCCAAGACACAAATAAGGTAATGGAGGGATACATAACTTCAGTTGCTGAAAGTCCTTACTCTTGTTTTGTATTGTGTTTCTTGTTCTGATTAGGGTCTTGCAAGTTAAGAAAATTAATGTGTGGGAGAATTAATGCGGGCTCATTATGTTTCTAATTTTGAGAGAGCTTTTGCTGCTGACTCTCTAGCTATATATGTATGTTTATATGTCAAAGTTATGTCCGAATATAAAGCCTGAATCAAATTATTAAAGCCAGAGTAAAGAACTTGATTATTTTCAGCTTTTGGTTGTTTTGCTGATTTTCCTGTTCTACTCAAATTAATGATTTGAAATGATTGGTGGATTGTTCGCCAGGCATTTGTTAGGATATCTAGCCACTGAGGTTTTCTCTTGCTTGAATAATAAAGAGCTAAGAGCAGAGTTAAGAAGTGGGGAGGAGGGGAGAGGGTAAGCCTGATGCACATACAGTTCATTATGTTCTTGGATACTCTGGTAGTTTTCTCTACCCAAGGCTATTGTTGCTCGTTTTGGGATGCAATTTACACTCATCTAGAGCCATCCAAATGAGCAAATGAGTAAATAATGTACCCTAGAACACCTAAGAATTTGTATTTCATGCATCACTGCTATAATTATTACTAAAACAAGCCGCTGCTGACATTATTGATTGACATGTGTCAGCTTCTTATGAAAATTTTCCCGCCTTAATTACTTATGACATCATTTTTTTAGTCCTTCCAAGTTCCAAAACTAAGAAAATATTGGTTTTGAGAGGGATGCCCTATGGTCTTGACAGTCAGATGACATGCTCCTACGGAACCAAGACCGAAAAGATTGAAAAAAAACAAGTAATTTACAACAACTGATGAAGGATTCCTCCGATAAAAATATGCCTACACATTTCCCAAATAAAGAATAATGACTATCCTTTGTAAACAACCTAATTAAATAATTCAACACATGGGGTAATCTATTTGAGTGATAATCTATGTTTTTTTTTTTTAAAAAAAATAAGTATCTTAACATTCTTCCATTTAATTGCATTCGTATTTCAGTATACAGTGTTCATAGCTGGCTGAGTAGCCTCATCTTGGGCATCTGTGGAGGCGAGGCAACCAGCTTCACTGTTTGAAGTTCACTGTGCCTCAATGCTCTCTGATGTGACCATAGTGCCTTTTGTTGCTTTGTACCTCAGATGCACTATTTAAAGCTAAGGTGCATTTGGGAGGGTGTGGTACTATGGTGGAAGGAGGGAGTGTAGGTGATGCTTAAATATTGATGAGTGTCAAACTTAGTTATGTATTTAAGAATTTGACATTGAAAACATGAAACTTGACTGAAATATGTTTACAAGATAAGGTGCCGATGTTTTTAATAGACACTTGGATTTAAGATCTATCCATTTACCTTTTAACTAGTATCCAAATATGCTTTAGAACTCCTTGCCTATTTAGCAATGGCTGTTGGCTGCCTAATGTGATATCTTTGATGGACTGGCTAATAAATAAGGATGAAAGGAGGGCAGAGTGAGGTCACGGAAGGCAACTTGACCTGTGACCTGAAGTAGGGTTTATCAAACAAGCTCAATAGCAGTAGGAAAATGCCTTTGGTACTTAGTTATTCTGTAAAGCTGCTGACAAATTGTCAAATTATTTGTGCATTATGTGACACAGCTCTCTTGGTGTGAGCAGGTACTTGCAGTTTCACGGGTCATGGTTGCTTGGCAACCTATTGGCATTTCCATGGGTGTTTATGACATGTGTCTCAGGTATTATGATGGTTTACTGATATTAAGGTATGAAATGGTAGTTCCCTAATATGCTAACATTACTTGGACTGAATACTGCTCCTGAAGGTACTTAAAAGAGAGGAAACAATTTGGTGCACCATTGGCAGCATTCCAAATAAACCAGCAAAAGCTTGTGCAGATGTTGGGAAATGTTCAGGCAATGTTTCTTGTTGGTTGGCGCCTTTGTAAATTGTACGAGAGTGGAAAAATGACCCCTGGTCATGCAAGCTTGGGAAAGGTGAATTTAGCTCACAAGCTATGATTATCTAAAGTCTTGTAACAGCTGTTCTAATGACAAATTCCTCTGTGAATATATCAGTCATGGATTTCTGTCAAGGCAAGGGAGACAGTGGCTCTTGGTCGCGAATTACTAGGAGGCAATGGAATCCTTGCTGATTTTCTTGTTGCAAAGGTCTTGTACTCGTCCTAATTTCAATACTTTGCGCTGTCTTGCCTATTTACTGTCTATCATATGCTTTTTGAAGATTGTGGGGAAAATAATTTACATTGGAGTTTCATTATATATATGAACTAAATGTCAACTCTTTTGTTGCTAAAGATGTAAAAAATGTTAATTTTTTATTCTTACTTAACAGAACATGTCAGCTGACTCTTCTATAGATTTAAGCTTTCCCAATAGTTAGTCAATTGGCAGAAAAGAGTATATATATTTCTATATTGTATTGTATGTCTTAATCTGATGTGCTTGTCTTTATGAAATCATGCGCGCTAGCTGCTGCTTTTACTTTTTGGTTGAAAGGACCTGATCTGCTTAGCAAATGAATATAAGCCTTGCTTTAATCATTTTATTGAGGATAAATGTAGCTTATGATATTTCTAATGATGTAAGTGGTTAATTTGTTGTCTTGTCTCCTTGTTCGAGTTGTTCCTTGGTTCTGATTGTAGTAAAACATTTTCAGGTTTCTTAGTGATGTTTTTTTAGTGCAATGCTGTAACTCAATTGTTAAATGATCCTGAAAAAAAATTGAGGGGTACTACTTCTCACAAGAGTATTGATTTTTGTCTGATATTGGCCTCCCATGGTTGTCAAATTGTTAGTCAAATCAGATCCCATCTCCACGAAATTCTGAGAAACTTGCTGGCCAATTCTTTTCCCAGGGGCTGGCTCTCTTTCTTATTGTCTTTCCAATTTTACCATTAGTGTTTTTTTTTTTTTTTTTTTTTTTTTTTTTTTTTGACAGAAAGTTTACCATTAGGTATGTGGTTTCCCCCTGAACAATTTTGTCTTGTGATTTATGTCAGATGGTTTTATTTGCAACCAAATATAAAGGATTCTCTCCATATGTTATAAATAGAAATGCGAAATTTGTTATCCTGTCTTGGATCATGCTGTAATGCAATCTAATAGTTCTGGAATTTCAAGTGATATAGATGACTTGCTTATTATTAAGAAGGATGTTGCAGTATTGTCAGATTAATTATATCATCTGTACTTGTCAGATCCCTTGCCATTAGTAAGCAACATGAAACTGGATAGGCGGATAGCTTTCTGTGCTTTAAAGATGAGTACTGGTAATATGTAGACCAAAAACTCTGGAAATGACGAGAAGGGAGTATGATAGAGTTGTTCAGACTTTTGATCTTGGCAAGCTAACTGATAAATGATTCAGAGAGAGAAACTAATAGATCAAGAGAGATCCTTTGATGATTTTGAAGCATGAGACCTATAAATTACTTTCTGTTTTGTGACTTAGTCCCTGTGTCTGCTGGACTGATTTGTCAATCGAATTGTCAAGTACCTGTCTTTTACATCCAAACCCATTGGACATATTATTCCTGAGTTCAAAATCAACTTTTGGATATTTTGTTATGATAGGTCTACCATATCCTTGCGACAGTTCTTTATCTTGTGTTTCACTAGGCAGTCTTTCCTGTATCTTATTATTTCCGACATTGCAATTTCCAGGCATTCTGTGACCTTGAGCCCATCTACACATATGAAGGAACATATGACATCAATTCATTGGTGACAGCAAGGGAAGTCACTGGTATTCCCAGCTTCAAACCTGCTGCAAGGAGCCGCTTATAGTGCATGTAAACATTTCTCTTTTCTTCTTTGATTTGTTTTCTGCTTTACGTATATGCTCTGCTCTTGCTATTTTTGCTGCTTTGTTAAAGTCTTCAAACCAAGAGGAATTTTAGATAAAAATAGAGACAAGTTTGGCTTCCAATCAAACTTAATGTCTATATTTTGTTATTCAACAAGAGATGTAAAGAACTAAAAAATCAGAAAGTATGAAAATACAACATGGCTATGGCCAATGGCATGTGATGTATGCAAAGTTCGAGATGACTTGATTTTTAAAAAAAATCTGCTACACTCTGATGCGTTTAGCAATTGGCTTTTCTATGTCAAAGTTAAACTTTGACCATCGTTTTTAAATTAACATATGTAATGTATCATTTGGGATCTTGTTAGATTCTTTTCAAATAATATTCTTGAATTTAATTTACATAATTTTTTTTTCAACATATATTGAATACTTTAAAAATCAAAGATGTGTCTTGGAGATTGTGAAAGTTCTATGTTGCTAGTATTAAATAAGGGATGAAGTATATACAACTAATACAAGTAATACAACACTTGATGAAAGGCCATTTATGCTGGAAATACGTGCTTTTTGCAGAGTTGTTGATCAAGAAGTGGACTGGAACTGTTATGTTGGAATTCGAGTCCTTGTGTTGTTTGTTTAGTTTGTTTATAAGAAGGCTTGCTTATGTCGCTTGAACTTTTATCCAACATATTTTTCTATTTTACTGCTTAAAATGGGAAGAGGAATAATAGCACTAAGCTAAATTTGTCCAGTGTTAGAAATAACTCCGGGTAGATTGTCAATTATATAATGTTGTAATAAAATGCATTAAGATTCATGTTTGTTAAAAAAGTTAAAAACTTGCTCTCCTCCAAATCCTCTGTTCTCTCTCCTCCTCCAAAACAAAGCCACTGCCGGAAACCTAGGGTCTCGTTGGGGTTCCGGCGCCGCAATCGGTTCTCCGGCAAGCACCCCCGTAATTTTCCTTTATTTTGTGGGCTAATCTCCCCTGTTTCATATTCTCGTCCCTTGTCGTGGTCGAGCTCCCCACCTATTTAAGTCTCTTGCGGTTCCACCGGCGATGAAGAGGAAGCGGAGCCAAGTCGACCTTACACCGACGACCTCCACCTCCATTAAGCTTTAACCTCGTTTCTCTGGCAAGTATCTTTTTTTATTTTTTGGTCAAGTATAGAAGGATCTTTGGCTTGTTAGCCTCGTGGGAAGTGTTTGGTGTTGTTAATTTCTTCGGTTCAAGGTTTGTGGACTTGTGTTCCCTTATTTTGTTCAGTTTATGGAAGCATATTATTTGCTCTTTATGGCATTAAATTTCTAGCTACCAGTGTTGCTCTTTGTTTTTCTATTCTTATTTCAAGTACTATGGATGTATTTGAGGAACTTAGGGGGAATTTTTGTTTTGCTCGGTTTGAAGAGGAGGATTTCTCTTTTCATAAGTTAGAGAAAATAGTTGGGGAATTGGAGATTCCTTTTGGTATTCTGAAATTTGTTAGGAGTTTAAAAGATGGTAACCAGTTGGTACAAGGAGAGTAATATGGTTTTAGCCATTGCAAAATGCTCTTTTGCACTCAAGAACTTGTCCTTTGTTCTAGTTTGTAATGATGATGATAAATCAGTTTTTTCAAGCCTTGTTGTGTCTCTTAATCTGCTCTGGCATGTTTAGTCAAAGAGAGGAACTTTGGCAAAGTTGGCTAGTTGTGCTTGGCGGTGTTGTGTTATGATAACTCAAATGTGAAAGCTTACTTTAGAAGAGCGGTAGCAACTTTAGAGCCGAACAAACCCGACTAGCTTTCATGGATCTTTCGCAAGCAATTAGGATTTATCCCAACAACAAAGAGTTTAAACAAAAACTAAGGAGATGACCTCTAGATTGGGTTGGTCTCAAAATTTTGTTGATGATGCACTTGTGGTTGCAACAGAGGATGAGAGGTTTAGAGACTTTGTTCAGTTAGGGAAGGAAGAAAAAGAAAGAAAGTTGGGAAAGGAGGGGAAAAGGAAAGAAGGAGATGGTCATGAAAATGGGTGTGCTCGTAGATGTATTGGTGTTAAAGATGACACCATAGTGGAAAAGAATGTTGTAGGCAAATCTTTGGATTTGGAAGGCAACGTCCGATCAAGATGAAAGGCCCAACGTTATTGATAACATTTCTGTTCTGAAGTCAAATCTTACAGGGTCAAGTTATTGGTTTTCGAACCGAAAATGAATTGATTCCTATTTTTATCTCACCCCGACAATGTATGGGGCGGTTTTCAAGGGACGAACACTACTCTACTATTGTTCTTCCCGGAAGAATTTTATTAGCATTCGAGTACTTGATCCTCCTAAGAAGAAGGATACTGTTTAAACTCAAGAAGTTTCTACACCAATAGAGATTAGTCACCCCCCTTTTGAAGGGCATGATAGATGTGAAAAAACTCCAATATTGACGCAAGAAGATCCGACTATAGGTATAGCCACCCATGCGTCATCATGTGAAAGTATGTTAATGTTCTACCCAGATGCACCAGTCCCACTTGAAGTCTACTACGAACCCCAAAAATAAGATATTTGCCTCTTCTCACCGCTCCAGAGTTAGAAGGAAAATCATTTGTTGTCAAAGAAATAAAACTCTCCAGTATTACTAACTCCTTATTTTGCAGGATGAGTGGCTCTAAAAGAAGAGCATCCTGTTCCTTCGAAAGCTTTTGGTTTATGATTAATATAATGCTTTTTCCGATGTTAAAGATTGTATGGTCCTACCCCTAGTGTTTTAGTGTGTAATTTGTTTTATGATTAATATAATGCTTTTTCCGATGTTAAAAAAAAAAAACAAAATAAAATAAAATAAAATGCATTAGGAATCTTGTATTGAGAAAGTTCAACCACATTGGAGGATAGTTAGATCCCCATACCCAGTACGCGCTTTCAGTTGGTGGAGCTAAAGTGGGTACCATAAGCAAAATGATATTGGTGATCTCATGTTTCCTTTGTTGCAGCTTCAACAAAAAGGGCTAGATCTATGTATACCTCTTTTCAAAGTGAGTGTAAAAACAGAATGTTTTTTTTTTTTTTTTTTCCGAAAGGAAAACAGAATGTTCTTGGATGTACAAAAACTGGGCAAGCCAAAATATCAAATCCTTTCAATAGGCACACAACTATACTAGTTTTAAAGAGCCTAGCTTGAGCCTGTTACCTTATTAATTTAATTAGTGCCTGAAATGTGCTCTAAGTTCTGTTGTAAATGTAAAGATAGAATCAAAGTCTAGAGGAACTCCAAGCTCACTAAACACTTAACAAAGCAAAATTTGAATATGTACAGGCATACAGCCGTAGAGGTGTAGTAGCTCCTCTTGATTTGGGCGGTGTTTGATTGGTGGTTGCCTACTATAATTAACACCTATTTAATTGAGAATATACTGGTTTTCTGTATTTGTGCAAGAAGCAGTTATAGATTGATTTGTGTTTTAACAGGAGATGTATTAACTTAGCAGTTGTTTTGAACCCCATGGTGTGGTGTATTCTGTGTATTCTGCTGAGATTGGCCTCTTTCCATTCCCTCCTTCACAGGCATGATTGTTTTTTGATCATCCTATTACGTCAGCCTGTGTTTTTTGCAAATAAATACTCTTGTATTTTAATGGTGTGTCCAAGCTCATACATTCACCTTCATTTGTGAGGCTTTGCACCCACACCTTGTATACCACATTCAAATTTATTAACTTTGTAAATGCAGGCTGCTAATTTATCACGATCCTTGCAGCAAAATTCAGCAAAATTCATACATTATTTTGCTAAAAAAAAATAAAACTGTGTTGCTTATCTCATTCTTCTGTGTAAACTTTGGTTTGACATCCTTTTTTTTCCCCCTCTATTTTACTATGTGCATTTCAGGCTCCAGATTTATCCTCGCATACCCAAGAAAGGAGGACTAGTGAGCTAGCTTAGGATGTCACTGCTTGGTGAACCAATAAAGCGCTTCATATGATATGCTTATGTACCTTAGTTTGTTTGAAATCCCATTGTTATACCTCTACGAAACACAATGTAGGTGTTGGGATAGACAATCTACACGGAAAAATACTAAAAGACGATGTAATCAAGTATAGTTTTTAAACTTGTTTTTAGCAATGTTATTATGCTCCTATGTATCAAACTGTTGCAAATTCGAAAGTACATACCAATGCGTATTATTTGCATAGTATACAGAATGATTAAAAGTCAATATCCCTCTTAATAAACCAGTAATGTTAATGAAATGAAAGTAATATTACCCCAACTTATTTGTAATATACTTTTATGGAGTGATTTTTGTTAAAATAAAATAAATTAATAAAAATCAAGCCTACCAATAATAATCGGCATTGTTAAGAGGGATATTGAGCGAGCATACTTAACGTAATTGGTAAAGAAAAAAATGAAGTCGATAAAATTTTGAATGTGAATATACTATAAAGGACGCTTTATAGGAAACATGCAGCTAGCATTTTTATTAGTAGGTAAAAATCAACTAAATTAAATTTTAATCAAAATGTAAATAAATTCAATATTCTAAATCATTTTTTTTCCAAAACAATATTCTAAATCATTTAAAAACATGTATATACACTTTTGTAATTGCACATAAATTGAACATAAATTGCACATGTGTATATATTTTATACATGTAAATGTAATTTATATTGATATATCATTCTGAATTTGGATGTTGTTCTTTTCAATATTAAATAATTCAATTTTATAATTATTATTTCTTTTGATCTTGTTGGTTTAAATTAAGTTTTGTCATGTATAAACATACATAGGCATGATGAAAATACATCTTAGAATACCCTCCTTTGAGAAAAAAAAATTGTACATTGGTTTCGTACAAAGTAATAGACCACAAACATTACATCATACCCACATTGTACTTAATTTCATAACCCTTATAATCTAATACATCTCTCTAACATAAAGAAATTTCAATTTTTCAAAAACAACCATAAAATATGAGACAAACCTTTTTTTTTTCAAAGGCTTAAAAACAACAATCAACCTACTATAGGACATATAGGAGTACTACTATACCATGACAAACCCCTCTGGAATATCACAAGAGGTTTGTTCTTTTTTCTTTTCTTCTGTTTTTCTGGGCTTTCTTTTATCATCCAACTTATCTATGCTAGTCACAATCATAGTAACATACTTCGTACAAAACTATAATTATATATATTTTATAATTATTTTTAAATCTATTTCAATATTAGCTGCATTATTTTCTTTTTAAAATAATCGAAAATGAAGCATCAACCTATATATATATTTATGTTACTTCTATCCAAGTCTCCTCCAAGATTATCTCTTTCCATTCCTGTACTCCTCATTCTTTGCATTAGTCTCATAGCAGCTACCAAGAACCTCAAACATTGAGTTGGCCTCAAAATCTCGGCTGCTTTAGCTCCCGTTGTCACCCTCAAGGAGTCGGCATTAGCTATGACAGCTTCAAGCGATGCATTCAAGTGTTGTATTTGCTCATTTGTTGTTGTTAAGGATTGCCCTTCTGATAGCCATGCAGCCTCCCGCATGGCATCAATTAGTGGTGGTGCTGCTGCTGTCTCTTGTATCCTTGCTAGCTCGTCTTCCACTGCCTTTTCATTTATTCTTGTATCTCTTTTCAGCCTATTTAGGAATTTTATGAAGATATCAAGATTTATTCAAAAAGTTTGAGCATCGAATTGAATAACATAAAACTTAAATAATTTTGGCATTGATGACAAAATATTCAATTTTAGTTCAAACACCATTGATTCATTTTGGCACCACTCAATTTTTGTCCTAGTTACTATCATATGAATGAAAATACATTCAATAAAAATCAAAGAACAAGATGTACATTTTTACATTTTATACATGGGAGAAATAGATTTAAATAATTCAAAATATAAGCTAATGGATTCATGAGTACATAATTTCTTAGAACAGGGTATATCATTTTTTTTCCTATTAGATTTAACGTTCTGGTTAAATGTGCTTTAGGTAGGATATACATGCACTAGAATGGAAAACTCTAAAATAATCTAGTTCTAATCCTGTCAATACGACCCAATAACCTAAAACCCTCTGCAAAGTAAAACCTTTGAACGAAAATCAAACAAAACACATGTAAACCCTAACTAATACAAGTATAAAGATACTACTGGTTATTTACAATAGACCAAAAATCCAAGAGCAAAGGGCTACTGAAGGAGCCCCTAACTAGTGCTAAATAACTGTGAGACCAATGGAAGAGGCAGATATATGAACTATGAAAACCGCTAGCTAGAAGATGCTCATGAAACTTTGGCCATATATTTGATGTATAGTGACAGTGTTACGCCGGAAAAGCCTAGCTAGAGATCGAGAATCATAGTACCATGGTATAGAACATCTAGCATGACTGCACCAGTGTAATTGTGTAAAACACCAAAGATCAAAGATAGATGGAGAGTCCTAGCCTACAACTCTTCAGGGATACAACGACTGAATGAGGTCACGTGCAAGTTTTATCCCTAATCTCACCAAGGCCACCCATGTAGTAATCTACTTCGTATCATATACCTTAAGTATTTTTTTTTTTTTTTTTTTGACAATAATATACCTTAAGTAGTTAAGTATACCTAAATGTAGGTAAAGAGAAGAAATTCGATTAAACCTCAAAATCACGATTTTTTTTGTGTGGTATTTGTGAATTACACACTTCAAAAAATGAAGGAGAAGGAAAAAAGATTCTCACTCTCAAAGTGTTCCTAAGTTGATAGTATATGTATAGTTTGCTTAAAAAGCAAAACAAATATACTCACATTTCTATACAAAATACATAATTTATATTTTCCTGGAATTTGCAATTTTGTCCCTATTAAAATTATTTGGTTGCTCTAGAAAGTTCCACGTAAACAAATTGTGAATTTCCATCTTATAGGTTCATATAACTTTTGATTGAATTGTTTAATTTTATTAAATAGAAGCCTCAAATTTAGGGCCTCACAATGAAGAATGAATGGGAGATTAATGAAGTGCACAATCCCAGATGTTTGGCTAGAAGTGGACAAACCTGTGAGCCTGCGCAACAATCTAAAGATTGGATCCTTTTTAGGTCACAATATAAGGGATTAGGACCCACGCCTCATTTTGCTACTTCCTCCGTTCTAAATTAGATGACATGTTTCTTTATCACGCTTGTCATATTTCTTTAATTATATTATTATAAAAAAATTTAAAATTGAATTTTAATTAAGTACTCATTAAAATGAATCTAACAAGATTTCACATGATTATGTTTTTTTTATACCTATAAATCACACATGTTAGCCAAAGCAAAGTTAATGATTAGTGTCAAAAGTCAAAACATGTAATCTAATTCGAAATGGAGGAAGTATTTTGGTTCTTTTTCTTACCTTAGGTTTTAGCGAGGTAGATATTTTATCAAATAAGGCATTACTCGACTACTCACAATTCTTACCTTAGGTTCTAGAATAATACTCCATAGATAAATTAACTAATAACCCTAAATAATGGTAATTGTCATCTTAATGTACTAATTAAACACTTGATAGTGATACCAGTTTAATTGAATTCGTTTTCAACCAAAAAAAAAAACTCCCTTTATCAAACATGCTCCAAGAGTAATTTTTTTGTAGAAGATTTTCTTAATAATGAATAGTATCAAGATTTGAAATGGGAAAACAAAAAAATGGGAAGAAGTATTACTAAAAAAAATATGATTAGGAAAAATATTAATAATCGAAATTTTATTGTTGTGCGACAGCGGAAGCAAAGGTCGAAAACAAACAAGAAAACAATAAAGAAATTCAATGCAAACAATAAGAACAACACCAAGAATTTACGTGGTTCACTATCGATGTGATAGCTACGTCCACGGGCACCGAGATCGAATGATTTCACTATAAACTGCAAAGATTACAAAGATGATTCTTGTATTTCTCAAGAACGGCTCTCACTCTGTCTCTCTTCACCCTTATACTAATATTAGGGAGGTTTTATATTAATCCCTAAAATAAAAGATACTTGGGCAAAAAGATAACATAAAAGATAACTTTAAATCGTAAAATCCGCGTCTCCGCATTTTTCCTTCTCCGCCCGGTCAGACCGGGCAAGGTCTGCCCGATCGGGCGCGAGAAGAAAACTCCATACGAATGCTTCAACGTATCCAACCCCCACCGCCCGGTCAGACCGGGCAATGTCCGCCCGATCGGGCGGACAAAGCTACGAAGTACGAGTCACCTAATACTTATCAACAATCTCCACCTTGACGAGAACTCGTAGTCAGCAAACGACCCCATCAAGACATAGTGGAAAAACATCTCAAGCCAAACCCGATGCAAGACTCATGCATAAGCCATACATCCCGATAAGTCTTCAACCAAGACCCATCACATACTCGTCTCCAAGTATAACAACTCATAATGCTCCACCTGCATCACAAGCCCCGGGCAAGCTCCACCTTAAGGCCAACACACCTACACCAGGAGCTCCCCAACTTCGCCCCTCAGGGCCTACTACATCACGTAGTAATCAATATTTAGCAAGTCTAAGCAATGTTTAAACTTGCTAAACGGAACAGACTTAGTGAAGAAATCAGCCGGGTTGTCAGCAGTCCCAATCTTCTTCACCTTAATCCTCTTGTCAGTACGCAAGAAATGATACCTGACATCAATGTGCTTCGTCCGATCATGGTGTACTTGATCTTTAGCTAAGCAAATCGCACTTAGACTATCACAATACACTGTAGCAAAATCCTGTGCAATACCCAGTTCACCTACTAGGCCTTTGAGCCAAATAGACTCCTTAGCTGCAGAAGTTAAAGCCATATACTCAGCTTCAGTAGTTGACAACGTAACTGATGACTGCAATGTAGACTTCCAACTAACCACAGAACCACCCAAAGTGAACACATAACCAGTCACAGACCTCCTGGTATCCACATCAGCTGCATAATCAGAATCACTGTACCCAGTGACCAAGCATTCCCTACCATTCCCGTACACAAGACCAATATCAGTTGTCCCTCTCAGGTAGCGAAAAATCCTTTTCACCCCTTGCCAGTGTTCCCTCCCAGGTCGAGCCATAAACCTGCTTACAACACTAACAGCATGCGCAATATCCGGCCTAGTACAGACCATAGCATACATCAAACAACCAACCGCATTTGCATATGGAACTCTAGACATATAAGACAACTCCTCCTCTGATTGAGGTGACATAGACAAAGACAACTTACAACTAACAGTAGTTGGCGTACTTATAGGCTTCGATTTTTCCATCCCAAAACGAGACAAAATCTTTTCAATGTAGCTTTTCTGAGTCAAGAAAAGCTTACCTCTAGCCCGATCCCTGTAGATCTCCATACCCAAAATCTTCCTAGCTGCACCCAAGTCTTTCATGTCAAACTCCGAGTTAAGCATCTCCTTTAATCTAGCAATATCAGATTTATTCTTTGTGGCAACCAACATGTCATCAACATATAACAAAAGATAAATCATGGAACCATTATCCAGCTTACTATGATACACACAGCAATCATATGAATTCCTGTCAAAACCTTGTGAAACCATAAAAGAATCAAACCTTTTGTACCACTGTCGGGGGGATTGCTTAAGTCCATACAATGACTTTAGCAATCTGCAGGCATAGTGTTCCTTTCCAGGAACTTCGAATCCTTCGGGCTGCTTCATCAGAATCTCCTCCTCCAAATCGCCATGAAGGAAAGCCGTTTTAACATCCAACTGCTCCAGCTCAAGATCAAAATGTGCTACAATTGACAATAACACACGGATAGAAGTATGTCGAACCACAGGTGAGAATATCTCAACAAAATCAACCCCTTCTACCTGACTGAACCCCTTAGCAACTAGCCTAGCCTTAAAACGTATTTGCTCAGTTTCCGACAACCCTTCTTTCTTCTTGTAAATCCATTTACAACCCACAAGCTTCCTCCCTTCCGGTACCTTTACCAGTTCCCACACTCTGTTCTTGTAAAGAGACTGCATCTCTTCACCCATTGCGGCAAGCCATTGCGCAGACTCACTACAACTAATTGCTTGTTTATATGTGGCAGGTTCAAATGACTCTACATCATCAGCTACACTCAATGCATAACCTGTCATCGCATCAACACAGCAATTTCTTCCCTCCATCTCTTCAATCAATCTAACAGGCTTCTTGATAACTCGTTTAGGCATCTCAAGAATGGTGTCAGGTTGACTAGATGACCCCTGATTAGATTGCTCCACCTCATCCCCAGAGTTAGAATGAGTAGGAGTAATCTCAGGTTCAGGAGTACCCGGCACTGGAACATCAGCATCATCATCAATATATTGTACCCGAGGTAAATCAGCAATGGTAGACTGATGTACCTCAAGTACCCCATCTGTCTGTAATAAATTGTCTCCTTCCCTTCTCAAATCTGAAATCTCTGCATTTTTAATTGAATACATGGTGTTTTCATCGAAAGTAACATCCCTACTAAGAATGACCCGACCCTCCGAAGGTGAAAAAATTCTAAACCCCTTCACACCATCCCCGTACCCAACAAAACACCCCTTCTTGGCTCGTGGATCCAGCTTACCCTCAATAACATGATAATAAGCAACACAACCAAAAATCTTCAAATTCGAAAAATT